AGAATGTGTGAGGCACTGGGTTCAGCACCACATAAAAATAAATAAAAAATAAAATGCAGGTATTGTGTCCATCCACAACTAAAAAAAAAGTCATCGCTGTGCCATAAACTACACTCTTTGGGGTTATGCCCCATCTTTCACTGCTGTCCTGACTCTACCAAAGTAGCCAAACATTTCTCATGACTCTTTTTATCCACTAAAATAAGCCAACAGTACCAAATTTTACCAGTATTCAAATTTCTCTCTGCTCTCGGTTAAATTTAATCATTTTCTTCTGATTAAATCTTATCTCCTGTAGGCCAAATGAAGAGAAGACCTGGGGACCCAAAACATATACCAGAAGAGAATACCTATAAAAGATTGTATAAAGGAAGAATCAGGCCCAGAAGTCCAGTGTTTATATACAGACTCAGAGTGGCGACTGAGCTGCCCTACAGGAGATATAGCCCAGTTTCCCAGGCTGCTTGCCTCAACTCTTCTGACTACCTGAGTCTAGCTAGGTCGCACTGGTTCATCATTCAGGATTAATGAAGAAATTCAGTTGCACTGATGAAGTAGTCACATATAAGTTGAAACTGGGGGCTGGGGTTGTGTGTGGCTCAGTGGTAGAGTGCTTGCCTAGCGTGCACGAGGCGCTGGGTTTGATCCTCAGCACCAAATAAATGTAAAATAAAGATATTGTGTCCATCTAAAACTAAGAAATAAATATTTAAAAAAAAAAAAGAAGTTGAAACTCTGCAAAATCTGGAGAGGCTCTCATATCCAAGTTCTGAAAACTCAACCCTTAAATGTATAAACAATGCTCTTTAGCTTTTACTTTCAGCTTCTGAGGAATGGACTCTTTAGGATGCAGAAGCTCTGGAAAAGAAAAGCTGACGGCTACATTAGGCCTGGGAAAACAAGAAGAACTGAAGGACCCAGAAAGATCACAATTCAGAACTGAAATCGCCCCTCCTGCAGCAGTGCCTGACCTTTGCCCCCTGCAAGCCTCCCAATTCCCTCCCACAACAATCCCTCCCTCGTTTAATTCTGCGCCCAGAGTCCTTAACCCATCCCGGCTCATCCAATTTAAGGACTTTTCCCCCTTATTCCCTATCGCGATGTCAGGGCGGCCTTCACAACGCTGGGGCTCTAAAAAGAGACTTTGCTGACCTGTCAGCAGATCCAAAATGGCGGGGCCTAGTCCCAGGACCGGCAGCCGCTGCTCATGTCCAACCTGGTCCCGGGAGACGTCGCTCCCAGAGGCTGTCCCCACTCGGTGGAGGGTGGTAGAAGGGAAGGAGCCTGTTTTCTGAAAGTTAAGGCTAAAGTCAAGGTGGGACCGCTCACTTGACCGGAATAAGTCGGCCGGGACGGGCTGAGGAGCCGGCTACCTTCCCTGTCAGCTCACTGACGTGGTAACTAGCCTCAGTCTAGCCCGCTGCCTGGTAACTGCGCGAGCCCTGCCGTTTGCAGCCAATCATAGTCTGGCACAGTGAGAAGTGGCGTTCCCGCTATCCAATCGAAGAAAAGAAACTGGCTGCAGGAGGCGGGTAGTGCCTAAAGCGGCGAGATTATAAGGAAAAGAAAAGGGTAGGTAGGAGACAACCAACGGATACGAAGATACTCTGAGTGACAATTATAAAAGCCAATAAAAATAGGGAATTTCTCTGGGCGGTTGGAGAGGTGGAGTTAGGTAGAGTTCGGTTGCAGCGCGCAGTTTAGCAGTGGCCGCTTGGCATTATGGGGAGGAAGGTTACGATTTGCTGGAAAGGAGGCGGGGCCCGTTTTGAGAGCTTGAGCGGGCACTCCAGACTCCCCCGGCTGCATCCTGTGAAAGTCATCTGAGCCAATACTATCCTCCTTGAGTGATCACTCCTTTTCGAAGCAGTCTGGGGCCCCTTCATCCTAAGACCAGTCCGGCGACCTCTTCCACATTCTGCCCTCCCCCAACCTTCCCCGTCTGCCTGCTCCTTGTGACTTCTCATAGGTGTGTCTGTCCCGTCCCAACTCTGTCCCGTCCCAACTCTGTTTCTGTGTCTTCTGCCCCATTCTTAGCATCCAGAAAAAGAAAATGCGAGATGGCAGAAACCCTAGATATCTCTTACAGAGCAGGAAAATAAATCCCAGAGTAGAAAACTGGCCCCATGTTCACATAGCTAATTAATGGCAGGGAAGAGAGACAAATCCAG